AAGCCCAGTGTGTTTAGTTTTTGTTAGAGGCTATTGGAAAAGAAAGTTGGGAGATTTTTGCCTTGGATATGAGCTGTCTTGCTACTTCCTTTCTTTCCCTCCCAAATCCGGAAAATCCTATCTCTTTTTGAGAGTCTGGGACCTAACTTCCCCTTGGGAAGATCCACCTTGTTTGCTTGGGAAATACTGGGTTTTGGTGTCACAAAGACCCAAGGTCAAATCCTGATGCTGATGTTCTTAAGATATGTGATGTTGCCACATGCGAGGTTGGCTTATACTCTACGAACTTTTGTCAGCATACATGAGTGGGTCTGTTACCCACCCTATGGTTTTTTTTTTTTTTTTTTTTGAGGATTAGAGATAAAAAATACATATCACCTGGTGCATAATAGATGCTGAGGCCAGCAGCAACAACTGAGAAGGAGAGAGAAGAGCTGCCTGGGTCATTTAGAACCTTTTCTCCTGACACTCTTCCTTCACCCTCCCTGTGTGTGTGTGGCAGGGTGGGGAGGATGGTGAGATCTGTGCAAGATGCTGTGGGGTTGGCAGACCCCTGGGGGTGGCAATGTGAGTGAGTTCAATATGGTCAGAACCTGTGGGAATCTAGCATATTTTAAGGCTTGAAATTCACATAAGGGATAAAGTAGAAAAGAAGATAAAAGAATACAGTGCTGACGTTGGTAAAGGTGAGTCGTGACCCCAGCTGTGGTTGCCTATAATAAGGGCATTCATGTAACAGGAGCTGTGAGGGATCACCCTTGGCTCTACTCCCCCACCACGAAGAGTATCAGATTCTACAGTCTTTAAAACTATCCCAACCAACTTCTGATCCAATCAAATTCTCTTTTCTGACCCCAGAAAACCCACCCTCCTGCCTCCCAAATGCCGCCCCCTGCCATGTGATTAATGTTGACTAGAGTCTTTGAAAAAACTATGTATGTCAAATAACCATTCGGCCAAATAAAGAACAGTTGGGTCAGGGTGATCTGCTGCCAGTTGTATTTTTTTTTTTT